GAAGGCTTAAAACTTACCTCAGAACAACTGTGGGACAAGAATGGCTGTCTGATATAGCTATGTTAGTATGTTACAACTTACAAATTGATAGAAATCGAGTTATAGATTCTGAAATAAATTTTAATCGACGAGTTCAATGCAGCAGCAACTGTACATGGTAGATGCTTAAGTTTAATTTAATTTTGTTAATTAATATGTATTAATATTATATCAATGTAATAAATTACAGTGTCTACTAATTATTTTAATTTATATAATAAAATGTATTTACTTCATATTATTAATGATAATACTAAATTGTGTATACAATTTTGAATTTTGATCGAGGAACTGGTATTGAAAAAGTAGTAAATAAATGTTCAAGCGGTACCTATTTTGCAATTTTGTAGAAAGTTTGTAACTTTCCTGATTAGTTTTGCACCCCCTGAATTTTAGCGAAATTACGCCTATGCCTGAATAGAGTATAATATATAGCATAGACGGTAGAACGGATCACCCTGGAACATTAATATATTATCTATATCATAATAAACTTATTTATATCACGCCGTATTTATCTATATTGACTATATTAATAGAAGGCAATGTTTGCGTGTGGATGTGTTCCACAGCTAAGTCAATCGCACTCATTGATCTGAAATTTGGTTCACAGGTAATCCTATACCCGAGAATGTGCACTTCGAAGGCAATTTTAAAATTTTTGCATTTTAAAGGGGCTCGCACGAACAGGTATTTGTTAGCTCACAAAAAAAGTAAAGAAAAAAATTCACCATCCCGTTACGAAGTGCTATTAATGAATAGCTTCTTCTTCAAGCCAACCCTGACTAATGCCCTATAATTGTATTCCCCTCCATTGTGCTTATTGTAATTATATTTTTATACAGATTGTACAAATAAAAACAAATATGACAGAAAAAAAAAAAAAATAATTTGTTGTTTCTATGGGTAGGAAGGTTTACCATTGGTTTAACTTATACAGAGGACAAAATAGTAAAATATATAATTGGATAATATATATAAATGAACTTATATACTGATTCATCATCGCCTATTCAGAACTGTTAAAGCTAAGAATAAGAAAATTGGTCAGTAGTTTTGTTTTATGATGTAAATACTCACTATAAGAAAGGATTTTTCAAATTTTACATTTGAAAGAGGTCTACAAACAAGGACTTTGTGATTAACGAGGGAAAAAAATTATTTTTTTTTATAAATGGTTGCCATTGGTTGTAGTTGATAATAGTATTACTGTATTAGTATAAATTAGTATTTTTTTTTTGTACATAAATGGATGCCATCGGTTACTCGGTCAGATGAGGTAAAAGCGTGCATTGCGCAGATGAGTAACTTATTATATATCTGGAGTTCTCCAACGACTTTAATATTATATTTTACAATACCTACAATAACTATTACAATATAATCATTTAAAAGCAGTATTAAGATGATTTTATGAGAAAAACAATAAAAAAAACGGGCTCACATATACAGTGACGTAGGTACCTGTATAAGGCTATAACACCGTTTTAGCATACCTAATTAATGTGTATAAATAATTATTAACAAATCTTCGCGTTTACATTGCCCCGATTAAAGAAACTATAATTTCTTAAAACCAAATTTATGTCTGTAGCTTAATTATTCGATTGATGTTGACGAAAAACTCAGATACTGTTTTTAGAGATATCAGAAACGTTTAGAGAGTAGTTTAAAAATTTAAAAATATACCAAGTGCTAAAATGTAATAAGCGATTTGTGGTTATAATTCTAGGTTGAATTATTTCACAAAGTTAGGTACACTGACGCCGATGTACCCTTGAACTGAGGTAGGTACACTCTACAACTGAGATACACTCAAACCAAGATACACCTATAATGTTAAAGAGTTGTATTTCATATTCGTCAACTTTTCCCGCACATTTTACTGTACAGTTATGTATTTTATTTTAATATACGTTGGCTTACGCACAACTTACTATCATCGGATAGTTATTATGGTTGGATGTCATAATTCCTGTATTTTATATTCGGTCGAAAGGACCCAAAAATAGCCGTTTTAAAATTCCTTGGAGTTTTTAACGAGTTAAGGATGTTAAGAAGGTGTAAGTCCACGGCCACTGAACTTGCCGAGGGCGACGCCGTGCAAGATCAGCTAGTACCTACCCATAATAATATTAACATAGTATTTGTACGACTGGGACGCGGGTGAGTTTTACGTATTAATAATAATAATAATAATAATAATGTGTACCGGATACGGATGAGTTGCGCCGTTGTTCCGGCGACGGATCGACGTGTTAAATATTTACTCGTAGGAGCCGACGGAGAGTGCAACCGAACGAGAAACGATTTATTAAACGCAGCGGGACACCGGAAGCGAACGTCGTGCCTGCGTTTTCACGTGTAAAACGCTTTAAACGGCGATGGGTGTTAAATATTAAGTATTCCGTTGTGCCAGCTATTATATACGGACCTCGATACCGTGGAGATGAGCAATTTCGACGAACCCAACAAGATTTTTGGTTCTTAGTTACCGAAATCGTGATTGATACAGGGAAAGAGATTCTTTGAAAATTCATATTTAGTGCAAGCACAATACTACACGCAACAGATCAATCGTTTAGAAACCGTTTAACCGTTTTAGGTTTCTAACCAAAAGTTTAGAACATCTCATATGTCCCCGTTGTGTCCGTCCACTCACCTGTTAATTACAGTTAAAGTATAAATATTATATAAAATAACGATATTATATAGGTACGCGGTTGTAAATATATATATATTTTTATTAGGTTAAGGTGTTTCGACGACTGAGGTAATTAACCTGTAAGGTTTGTAGGGTTGGTACGGCTGCAGGTATGAGAATTTCGGTGCGGTTGTTTATGAGTGACAAGGTCTTTGCCACTACGAACCCGGGTGGTCACCCATCCGGCAACTAGTGGCAGCGGATGTAACTTACGCTCAACCAGGTAGAGTGATTAATTATAGCCACCGCACCAATCCAAAGCACCTTTGTTAATATTATTTAGTACATTTTCATATTCGTGCGTATATTTATAATTTAAAACAAAAAACTAGTAATTCATTTAATTAGACACTAGTTATTATTAATATTAACTACAGTTTAACAAACAAATAATTGTATACCTAACAGTTCGATTCAAAGATAGCCGATAGGTAATGAATACATACAAGTATTGAACAAATATCAAAATATGAGTACCTATTTAATATATAGATTCATACTACCTAGGAGTAATAAAAATCCGGTACCAAAATATTATAAAGGTTACCAAATGGTTTTTAAATTGTAAATAGAATTATAGTAAGTTTATTGGGTTGCAATACAATTTGTTTTCATACCAGGAATTTATATATAATTTAGATTTACTATGCACACGCTGAGTGAGTTTTTCTGACTTGTTTACATTTTGTAAATACGGTATATGAAAGAAATAACAATATCGTTTATAAGTTTTTGTTTTTAGTTTAATTTATTTCCTAGTGAAATCACGATTGAAAATGTCCATAATCGTAACCTAAAATGAATCAAACGATAAAATTTGTATTTTAGTTCTAATTATATATTTGTTAAATTGGTTTTACCTAAATACGCACTTACTATAGCTGAACCATTAATATTGGTTGCTATATGGGTACCTATATTATATTATTTTATATCGAATTCGATTTTTTTTTCTCAAAATGTACTCTGTTTACCGAGATTCTAAAATAATCGACGACGAACAACAAGTTGTGATAAAAACATTTTTTGGTAGGTTAAAAAAGGTACACAATTAGACATTAGTACATAATTCTAATTATTACAGTATAAATGTTTTGTTTGTGTTATTTTGGGTTCAAAGATAATGCGAATGTTGTAAATTAATGTGTAAGTAGACGTATTTACGTGAATAAATTCGAGTTTTTACACTACCATCTCTTTCAAAAAAAAATTTAATACATACTGTATATTTATTAAAAACCAACGGGCTTACTGCAAGGGATGACATTGAATTTGATTAATCGTTTTAAAGCTTAACCGTCACATTTGACACGGTCGACAATTACCTACTCTGCATCCTGCATACAGAATTATAGACCTTTAGACTAAATAATATAATAATGAATTAAGATATTATAAATAATATGTCACGTTTTATAATGTAGTTGAAAAAGTTTTGGATTAGTTATCGGTTATTGGGACACTTCTGAATCTGACCCATAATGGTTGTTTTTAATTTGCTGCGCACGTTTAGTATAATAATATCCTATTTTGTCGTAGAAATTCTACCTTAAAGGTTGTAAGTACTTGCGGTTAAAAGTATTATATGGTACGGTGTTTGTATTGAACAAGAATTAAAAATAGAAACAACTAACAAACTTAAACTTATAGCAATCAAAAAATATTTAATAAAATATTACGTGTTTAATAATATTAAACAAAAAAACGTCAGCATTTAAAACAAAATTATAAAAGTTACAAAATAAAATCATACAATAAAGTATTGAATAGGTATAATTAAAAAAGTTATTAAATACTTTTATTCCAATTCGATATAACACATTGTATTTTACAAGTATTTTTTTATTCTCAAACAACAGTTTGTATAGTACATAAGTTGAAAAAAAGCTAACAATTTTAAATCAATTAAATATTCTCTATAAAAAATCTATTTTACTTGGATATTTTTACTTTTAAAAACCCAAAACACAAACTGGATACATTTTTTTTTATAAGACGCCAGGCTCAATAATTAATACCAAAGCGTTTTTGTCTTCAGACACAAACAAATATAATAATATCAAAAACACACAATTTACTATAAATCAAGAATTTAGAATTCGAATAACATACTATATAGCTTCGCGAATATCGAACTCTCAACTATTATAACTAAACTTTAAATTATACAGTGTTGGTAAATAATTTATATTATATCCCATGCAATTTCACTAAATCTATAAATTAGATAATATTATGTAGCATTCGGTCCACTCACCTTTTTGTCATTTATGAACCACGTGAGATTGGTGGCCGGGAAAGCCGAATAAGAAGTGCAGTTTATCGTAACCGGTTCGTCTTTGATGTACTTGAGCTTACCGGCAAACATAAGTGGCGCCGACTGTGGTTCTTCTGCAAAGGAAATCATGACGATAAATGAGCTATCTATTTAAAATGTTGTCGAGTTGTCGACATTCTAATGTATATTTGAATATGATTCTTTTCATGATAATCATTTATCATATTATAATATTGTATGTAATAAACTAGCAGGAATCGGAGCTTTGTGAGTTATTGAACTATAGACATCAAAATAACTATTCAATAATAGAAATGATAAAATATAATTTGAAAATAAAAAAAAAAAATAGAAAAGAAGTTTTTACTGTCAGGGCGACATACCATATTATTAATATGCATATAGTCTTGGTTTCGATTTCGTGAGAGACTTAAATAATAGTAATATTTAGGTCTTTGTTACATCGGTATTTTCAGTTATACGGTACCCCACTCATTAACTGTAATAATATTAATAATAGCACTTACCAATTATAGTTATGTATGACTCTTTAATTTGAGTGTGAAACAGTGGAGCGTCCGCGGAAATTTCACATTTATAGTGACCTGACATGTCCCGAGGTAGGTTAGTCAGTGTGACTGAGTGGTCGTCCGACTCGGATATCTAAACATGTTTATAAAAAAAAAAAGATTTATAAAACACCTTAACTTTAAAAATAGATTGGTGTATTCTGCACGTGACGAGTGCATTCGAAATAACCCACACAAAGGTATATAAATATAACAATAAGAGTCTGTTGACGAAGTGCGTGGAGAGTAAAAACAAATTATTACATCATTATTACAAAAATATTTGTAAAATTTTGTAATTTTGAAAATCTGTATGTAGTTAAGGCTTAGAAGTGTATTACATTTTTTACCGTACCAATCGTAGGTAGGTAATTAAGGAAACACAATTTTTTGAGAAAAAACCATGCTTCCGTTTTGCTATGAATTATAGTAGAAAACTTTCGACGGGTTGGTCAATTTTTTTAATTCTGTAGGGTGTGAACCGTAGACCTAAAAGTAGTTACCTAGACTTATAGGTATATGGTGTTAAACTGTTAACTATACATAATATCGAATGAAAAATATTGTCGAGTTCACTGTGGATCGCGTTAACGGTGGAATGGCGTTTTTACCTCTATCATATAAAGAATTTCTAAACAAAGTTCGTGGAAAGTTCGTTCTGCAGTGGTTACAATTATGCATATAATTATATTACGCGGTGTACCTATTTACAGTTTTATTACCAATGGAAAAAAGGTCGTTACGGATACGTTTAATTTAAAACGTCACGAGAAACGCATAATGACGGCCGGAATTTCGTTTGTCGCGTTGAAAGATCCACAAGAATAATTTTATAGAATATTATTACCATGCACGGAAAATAACCCGAAACGGTCGTAACTGAAGGTTCACGTATAAACATCCTTGGGGGACTGTATATGAGATGGATAAACTTTGCTGTTATTTGCGTCGAGTCGAACATTCATTCTTCCGAGGGACCAAAGTTTCATTCGTTGCACGATATTATATAATTTACGATTATTATATATAGTTATCATAGTTATTGTGCGCACTTATATAATATATATTGTTTATTATTTTTATTTAACTCTTCAGTACAAATGTATGTGTGTGTGTGTGTGTGTGTGAGCTTGTGTTGTAAGTTATGTCACTGACTTGCACGCTTATTAGTTCGGTATTACGCCTATCATCCGAAATGTGTCCATCGTTATTAAAAATTGAGTTTTAGCGAGTAAGATCGTATGGCCAAGTCAGTATGAATTGATAGATCTGTGATTGGCAATATTAGTTTAATCGAGCCAAATACCAATACTGCAGTCGATCAATAAAGTGAAATAATAATGATAAATTGTAGTTACGTCGAATTAATATTAGGCCACGGTGACATAATAAGACGTAAGTACCTACCTTTAAGTTTATTAATTACCTCTACATTAGCTAAATTATTTTTAACATCATATTTAATGATGGATTCAAATACTATTGAACCGAAAAATATTAACATTTTCTGAAAAGCAGTGATTTTCTAATTACCTCTTTTATCCGATCACCGTCCATATAATGTATATAATATAGTCTCAGTGTTATATAAACTGTGTGATTTATTTGTTATAAACATTTTACGTTTTTTCGCGGCCGTGAGTCGTTAGGACTTATTAAACTGTTATATATATTTTATTTTTTTAATTACACAATTCTCCCCCTCGACAATTGACTTAAACCGTTGACGTTAGGAAAATTAACCCCTTATAATAAACCCTAATGGAACAGTTGTGACAAATATGCTTCGAGTAGGTTTATAAATAATATTTTCTATAGGTATATTGTATACGATTTGAGTTATATTATACTCACGTCAACCGACGTAGTACCGGACAGTGGAAAAACCCTGGTCGGTGGTGACTCCTTGGGCACGAATCTGTAGAACTCCTGGTCTCCAAAGTACCATTTTATCGAGTAAAGGGGCACCCCCTCAAGGTCGTAGTCACAAGAGAGCCGCAACTGTTCGCCCGCTCGGATGGCTTCGGGGTTCCAAATTCGGACACCCTTCAAGCCGAACACCGCGTCTGAAAAAGAAAAAAAAAACTGATGAAATATTTTTACAGATTGTATGTTATCATAATATGTTCTACCGATTATGTTGTAATGTATAATGTAATGCACGTATGTAATCCAGCTAAGGCATATCCATTCGATTATCCAACCCGACGATAATGGTTATAAAGGGAATTCACGTCATAATACCTAATCCTTAAAATAATCATGCATATAAATATCACCATAGATGCCCCTAAAATATGCACAATTTTTTAAATATTCTATAAAAATTCGTATTAACTGAAACAATGTTAACACGTATAATATAGGTACTTTTATACCTTACTATACATTTTTTAATTACTATTTTCGTTTATTTATAACAATAACAATTACCTGTATAAAGTGTATTTAACTGTTTTTAGAACAAAATTGTTCTTTTTAAATTTTGGTAAACAAAAATGTATCATAGTTAATAGTTATATTGAAAATCGTTAGTGTAATATTATGGTCATGTAAGTTAAACATATAGGATTTACCAAATACGATACAAATAGGTTTTGCGAAAAACAATGTCGCACAGATTCAATATAACTTGACTACTAATAAAATTAGGTACATAATATTATAACAACAGCTTTACAAAACATAAGATAAGAAAAAATTGATTTTCTCAAAGTTATTAGATCGATGTAACATGACATTTTAATGCGGGAAATTATTTGACTCACGCAACGATGGACAGAACTATAGGAAGTATACATAAATATAAAAGAAAAAAACAATAATTTTGGCAAATTCAAATTTCACAAAAATTGTTTTTATTTTTTTTGAAATACGTAATAAATAACAGTATTTTATATAATACACTGCATATTGTGATGGGAATACGTTTCCGAAAAAAATAACAAAGGTCGACAAAACAAAACAAATTCGATACAATATATAATATGCAGTCGTGGCATGTACATATCGTATACATAATATAATATATTATGTGTACGGTTCGCCGTATACTTCTGGGCAGAGTAAACGTATATATATATTATTGTTATTGTACACATTGAAATATCAAAACTTTGAAATATTAGTCGGTTGTTTATTATTATATCCATTCCGCATGTGCATAATGTATACGTACCGCGAGTTTCAATAATATATCATATAATAGGTTGTTGTGCAGTTGATGCAGAGTGATTATTTTATCGCAGAACTTGTCGATAACCCCTAACTCGAATTTAGAACCTGACAGCTATAGGTTAGGTTGTCTGGATTCGCGAATACGCCATAATAGTATGTACACAATACATATTAGGTACACCTACTCGGAGATAATTTTCCTCATAATTCTTATTATTTTGTTTGAATACAATAAATCACGTGATGCAGACGGTCGCAATGACGCGTGTATTCTTCTGGTGCGGATATTTTATATAATATTATTCCCACCGACACACCCACAAATACTTTTTTCCGGTACCAGTAATTATAATAACTATACAATGATTCATATTATATATATATATGGAAAAAGAACTAGCGCCCGATGACTTTTAAGAAACGCGTAAAACGAATTGTCCGTCGAGTGGATACGTACAAATGATTATGGTGCAACACTGTTAAAATAAAACGTTTTGTATGAATCGTTTGGACTCATAATGATCATTATACACAACTGTAATGTAAAATGTATTTAGTAATATGAAACTTTGCTCGTGTAAATTACATTATTATTAACGTATTGCTGTTGTCGCGATAACGTATTATAAATTTATTTTATCGCGACATGTTTCTCTAATTTGAGGGATGGCAGTTAGTTCCCGAGCGAGTGCGGATGATTTGATAAACAGTTTTGAGTTCCAAAAAGAATTTTATACATCCTAAACATAGATCAAATTTAAAATAATTAAATGCAAACATTTAGCCAATATTATTATCGATCTGAGTCTGCAATGAGACAGATTATTAAAAAAAATATACAAAAAGAAATTGTCTCTAAAAAAGAAAATATTGTGGTGTAATCGTCATTAAACTTAAATATTTTTGGTGGTCTGGTTTTTTCACTTCCATGATTCAGAATATTGGTCCACAGTCCTCATATTATTTTCAACTTTTGTAGGTACTATTTAATACCTATACTAGTATTTACCAAAATGGTGTGCGGTAATATTTGAACTTTTGTTTTATTTATTCACATAAAAAAAATATAAAATATAATAATAAAAAAGGTGGGCAAGTGGGTGTCGCTCTGCTGTACAGTAGGTTACAAGTGGGTCACTGTATAATGGATGATATTAAATTTGAATTCAACGATATAATATCATTGTATAAGAAAAACGATTCTGAGCGGAGACGGTATGTCAGTCTATGTTTAAGACATATTATATACATATATCTATGGTATTAAACAAAAAATTGACCTATAATAGGTAATTATAATAAATTCCAAATTAATCATATCACAATGTCCATTAGGTACTTATAACGCGTTATACATCAACAAAACCGTGATACTATCATAGATATATAATAGTACACTTTAGAAGTTTCAAGTACCCACGAATAATATTATTCAATCACAACAAAATAACTAAAATAGTTATTCTAGGTTTTTTAATATGTAATTTCGTCCAAATTTGAATTTAAAATGTCTGTAAAAAATAACTGTGTTCATATATTTTTTAGATTTTTTGGTTACAGTATGAACTATTTATGAGAACCTTTGTTTTAAATTTGCAATCCTTAGCTATAAAAACTGAACATTTTATAATTTATTAATTTCAATGATTGATAATTTTCGAGATTTTGATAAATTTTGTCAAAATTTGATCTTTAAATGCTTATAAAAAAAAACTGTGCCTATGTATTTTTAATATTTTTCAACTGCTATTGTAATAGTATATCAGGAGCCTTGTATTAAATTTTTACACTTTTTGGCCCAACAGATAAAACTTTATTGATATTTATAGAAAAAAAAACTAAAAAAAATTGAAAGCTGTAAATGTCCATAAACAGCTCAAAAAGAGTCAAAATATTTTCAAAATTGTATGGTGTATAGAAAATGCTAATTTAAACATTCAGTGAAATTTTCATGTATCTACAGTTATTTGTTTTTGAATTACAACAAACTAAGGAAATCGCTACATGGGAAATCGAGTGAATATTCAATGTTGTAAAAATTTGAATTTCAAACGCTCATAAAAATTTAATTTGACTTTCTTATAGACATTTTTTTTTTTGATAAAGGTAGATAATCTTATAAGGAATCTTGTGTTAAATTTTCAAATCTTAGATTTAAAAAGAAAAATTTTTACGAATTCTTAACTCAAAATAATTTGCTAATTTTCGTGATTTTTCCATATTTTGTCAATTTTTGAACTTTAAGTGCTTATAAAAAAAAATTGTGACTAAGGATTTTTAATATTTTTCATCTGCCTTTGAAACAACATATTAGGAGCCTTCTATTAAATTTTCAAGCTTTCGCAACCAACAAATAAAATTTTATTGATATTTCTAGAAAAAAAACTAAAAAAAAATGAAAAATGAAAATGTCCCTAAACAGTTCAAAATAAATCAAAGTGTTTTGAAAATGTTATCGTGTATAGAAAATGCAAATATAAACAACCAGTGAAAATTTCATGTATATACGTTCATTTGTTTTAGAGTTACACCAAAAACCAAAATCGATTTTTTGGAAAACCAATTTTGCGTAAAAATTCCCGTTTTTCCTTAATTTTTATGTTGTTTTTCCCGGCGCTTGTGAAAACTACTGGGAAATTTATACTTTTGACCCCCCAAAGTACCAACTAGATTCACTTTCCTATCAGAAAAGCTACTGATGAAGAAAATCCAAGCACTTTTACTGTCCTAAAACGTGATGACAGACACAAAAATAAAAAAAAAAATAAAAAAAAAATAAAAAAAAAAACACACATCATTGTAAAATCAATACATTCATCGTTTCACTCAGAATCTAAAAACAATTTCAAAAAATCTATTGAAATAATAAATTTTTTTTTTATTACAAATAAATAATATATCACTCAACAGCTGAATATTTAGAAACAAAACTATAGTTATACCTAATATAAATACAAATATCTCTTTCAATATTTTAGTGTGAATAATTTAATGTTAATTTAATCTGCGCCGTTAGCATCCCCACCCCCGACCTTGCGATACTTGTTATTGAAAATCACGAAATGGTTTTTTTTTTAAGTACTACATATTTTACTTGAATTTTGTTGTTGTTAATACCGTTAAAGAGTTAATTTGGGAATAATTGCATCACTCTATAATCTATACGATATAATCGGTATATTAATTAAACTGTTTGTGAGTACAATTAGAATTTTGACAGTGATTAACATCGGTACAGCAATAATATTATTAACAAGGATTTTATTATCACATTAATTTTCTGGCAAACAATAATGACGCACGTGGTTCAATGAATCATTATTTATGGAGTCAGGGGATGTCGTGTGCCCGCAAAAGGGTATATTAAAGAGTCCTGGTGGACGCAATTTGTTCTGTAGGTATACCTCGTACCCATGGTATGAAATTGTATTATACGGATTATTCTACTTTATACACACACGTATCACTCTTGTCGGGCATGATTACGAATAAAGGCCATTGATTATCATTTTATATCTCTGTGTCATTAAATTGTTATTAAATCATTGTTTTGGTTAAAAAAAAAATATGTACCCAAAGCAGTGACCATGCTTTAAGAATTTTGTTGTGAGAAAAAATAAGAGAATATACAAACACGCCTTAACAAAATCCATATAATACCTTTTGACTCCATGTTAAGTTTTTTTTTCAAAAAAAAAACAACATAATATTATTTATTGGTATGATAAGTTGAATAATTTGTTTGCTTACATCTGCGCGGGATATCATTCAAAAGCCACCTACACGTCGATGTACCGAAATTGCCTATACGAAGTGCCGGCCACAGAATATACGTCATTATACACAATATCACTACCACGCTATATACTCCTTTATATTATATTCCATA